GGCCCACGAGTCACTTGAAGGTCATGACTTGAGCTTCAAAGACTTGAGCTTGACTGACTGTTAGTGCCAACTAGTGAGTCGCACTCTCTGAGAAGGTAATACCTGGTTGATCAAGGCCGTAATCCTTCGGCTCTGTACACCCCAGACAACAAACTTGCTGACTGTTCGCTGGCTTAAGCTTGAGCACTAGAAATATCTTCTGGCCAAACAACTTATACTAGCAGGATGAACGCTAGTCAAGTCCATCATTACTATTGCTCGTGTTAATTTGGATTTCCAACTTCTCGGATGATCTCCACCAGTCCTGCGACGCACGTGATAGCACCTGCGCGATCAAGTCGCGCGGAGCGTCGCTTTTTAACTTGGACTTGGCTTCGAAACCCACCTGGGGTGGGTACACTCAAGCTCACTAACATCTATATCGAAAACTGTCTCATCTAAGCCCACTTGAGTGCTTGACATATGAAGCTATATAAGTCCAAGAAAAACATACATGTCCTGGATCTTCAATGAGCCTTTCAGTGCCAGGGCTGCTGCATTCGATGCTAGGGTGCTGTCCAGAATAGATGACTGTTCTAGACTGTTCGACTGTTTCCTGCCAAGACCATACCTGTGTCTACAACACAGCGCGATTTGCAGAATGGAGAACTGGACACCATTACGTTTGAACAACTACATATTTGATTCGGGACCTTTCTGTATTGAATCTTCGTTGATGCTCTTGTTCAGGGGTGAAGTCAGCTGCATGCCACGTCGCTTTTAAGGAATTTCGAATTAGGGAATCAGGTAATCGCCATGTTTCCATCTGACTTTTTGTGCCAAACTCAGAATCTCAACTTGGAGAATTCGCAGTTGGTTCATGTACATTGTTGACGGTACAAACGTGCCATTCCATGTTCAAGAGCTTGGCGTTGCAACTTGTCCGTGAATTATGTTATATACCTGACCTGTTCTGCAACACTTTGGGCATGCGAATTGAGCCCGAAACCTGTGCAGCACATTCCTTTTGGAACCGCTTAATTTCGATCATCCATCACATATGCCCTGTGACATTCCAAGGATCTCAAGGAAGATTCAGGTCTCTCAAGTCTGCCATGTTTGATTGCAGATTTGCAAAGCAGTCCTTGGATGCCCAACTCGAATTCCCCTGTAACAATCCTGCCAGCCAGTCACTGCTGGACTTGACTTCAGCGAACTGAGTCCCCCGTTTTTGAGACGATATTGGAGACTACTCTAGGCCTGTTTTGACCTGTCCTGTTGTTTTGACGTTTCACTGGAGGTTCTCCGTTTCGCGAGGATGACAGGCAAAACAACAGAGCTAGCAGAGCCAGACTGCAGGGTTGACAGCTTTTCATAGCTTTCCTATTGTGTATATATTTATATGATTTATTTCGTGCTTTTATTACATACATTTAAAGACCCTTACTGCACTGCAACTGGCTGGGAATTTGCTACTCATTCCACAATGGAGGGTATTCCTAAGTTGCCTTGAATTATGCTGGCCTGCTGGTATGGGTGAGTGGCCTCCGTCCACCTTCCGACTGGGTCGCAGGTCAACGACTGTTAGTAGTAAGAATCTGGTTCGTCAGTGTCAAAGGATGGTCTCCATTTGGTTGTGGGACGAGAATACCATCCAAACCCAGCTGACAAAATAAATAACACCTGTTGGAGCCTGGGTCTTACTGATGGGAAAGACCACGGCTTCGGACCGCCCAAGAATCGGACGTGCCGTGCAGGCCCTACTTCTTCGTTCAAGTGAGGAGAAGTGGCTCAGGCAGCTTTTTCGGTCGACCGGTGAGAGCGGGTGGTGTTTTGATGCGGTCGGTTTCCGAGTTGCTGCTAGAATGTGCTACGATGTTCCCGGGATGCAAAACTGGTATACAAAGACTTGAGGAGCATCACTTGACCATCACTTGACGGACATCACTTGAGGAGGCTCCGCGGTTCCTTCGTCCAATTCTGCGGAGGTCTACAGACGATGCGAGACATCCTGGCACAGCGATTCGAAGCGGAGGCTTTGCCGCGATTTGAAGCGAAAGCATCAGTGTCCCACTGTCCCCGTCCCTTCGCAAGCAAAGGCCCCCTCTTTCATGACTCTAGTAGCAACAACCTAGTAAATATGATACGCATATATGTATGTATAGCTGTTCCTGCTGCTGCTCATGCTCCGGCTCCTTCTTCTGCTGCCACTGCTGCTGACAATATATACTCATAAACACAATATCAGTTCTCATATTCAAGATATTCTAACGCCAACAATACATTCAATACATGTGCTTTGCTTCGACAGCTAATAAACACCAGTGCCAATGCCATAATCTACTATCCGTTTGTCAAGGCACCGCCCACCCCAGCAAAAATCCGAAGTGACAGTGACAAAACAGACCATGAAGAAGGTGACTTGGGGACATGCACACATGTTTCTTTCTTAAATTAAACCCGTACCGTAGCTTCCTTTCTTCAACGTAACTTCGCGTAAAGCTATGCGGCAGTTCTAGCCCAACATGCACCAACCAAAGTTTGGAACATCTCAGGCAGATTGCTGGACGTAGAGCACATCCTCTATTTGTAGCTATTTGTGGAAATTCTCAGGCTCAGTTCCAAACAGCTCTCCTGGACTTTACTGTGCATGCAAGATTCTGAAATGGTACAGTATTGGAATAGGGAAGACCGTGGCTTTAGCAACACTTTTGTTAGCAGCAGGAGCTTTTGTGGGTCTCCATATCCTAGTACACATAAATGTGAGTGTTTGACCATGGATTGGATTGGCTTGGCCGCCTGCAGGGTGCAATTGCCACTATAGAGGAGAAGGAGGACTTGGCATTAGAGGAGCGGTCGGATGATTCAGTTCGTGTCTTCACATGCGGACATCCCTCCTGGGTGGCACATGTTCTGCTTTCTGGTTGCGAGGGGTCCCCAAAAGTCGTTGAAACAAAGGCAGTGGGCACATTGTGCGACATTGTCAGCTGCGTTTCATTCTTCGTTGCCAACTGAAACAGAAATGAGACACGGGGATCAAGATCACGCTCCCGCATCCACAATGTGGGCATGGGATCGGGGACATGCCACTAGAATCTGGGAATCCAGGGTTTTGTTACAGTAGTGTTAAGAATCTCATTCATATGAAGCATATGGGGCTTCCTGTTCTCAAAGGGATGTTTCTTGATGCAGCCCCGTGCCCTTTTGTTCACCACAGACCCATGACGAAGGAAGCTCAAGAAAATGAGACTCTGTGGCAACTGGATGCTGGTGTCCAACAAACATGACCGTACCAACTGGGCGCATGGCCGCTGGCCGCCGGGTGTTGTCGAGGACCACATCGCTGGCAAACACCGGAGCCTCATCAAGTTGTCCTTTCAAAGCACCGAAGGCCTCAACAAGGTGGGCCAAAGATTTTTTGGTTGGTTGCTTTGGGCGGAGAGACAGAGGAGGATCCTGACCTGACATTGGAATCCAACATGAAACATTGTGCAACCAATTATATGATCCTATTGGAAGCTAGAATATATGGTTTGGCTTGGGAACAGTTACTTAGCCTAGTCTGCCTGAAGGATCGTCAGGGTAAGCTATGGGCACGACAGAGTCCATGCCTAGCTGCAGTGGCAAGCCAGATGCTGCAAAAGACGAGATCACTCCATCGACTTGACAATTGCTGTATTGCTTCACACCAATCATCAGGTTTCTATGACCCTCCGCCTCACTAACCTGGAAGTGGAAAACATACCCTTGGATGACGATTTTCCTTCACGAACAGGGTGGTTTCCACTTCCATTTTAGTGAGTCGAATGTTCAGTGTGTCGTGGGTGTTGCAGGGTGCCGTCCAGCAGCCAGCAGTGCCTGTTTGGCTTGGCAGGCTCGCATGAACCTGCTGCAAGAGATGCGTGGCAAGAGGAGATGCCTGCCCCCAGCTTTGCGCTCTTCACAACCGGACTTGGTTCACAGGGTTCTGACAGTCGCTGGTCTCCTGCAAAGCCTTATTAGATGTATACTTGCAGAATCTTGCGGATGATTTGTATTTGCAGTGATGCAACCCTAGGGAGGCAGGACTTTCGTGTTTGATCGTGTTTGTGTTTTTGCTATATTATATAGTAGAGTTGCAACAGTGTTCAAATTTCAGATACCATTGTAATCATCGAATGATGCTAATATCACTTACATCCAACGTGAGGCAAAGGGAAGACATGAATTTGCCGTCCCCCTCGGCCATTTCGGTTCCAGAGCAGATTTGTCCGTTTTTCGGCCTTGCATGGATGCCCAGCTGGGGTTATTCGGATCTCCTGGGAACCCGCTGGGGAAACATTGATTGAGATCCATTGGTTGAAGTTGGGATGGTGTCCCTAGTTCAGTATATACATATGTACACATTTAACTACACGTTCTATTTGTTTGGTTTGAACTCCATGTATTTTTTTTCATGTTTGTGTTTTTCAATGGCAAGATCGAGTTCGGATGGCGGGTGGCTTTGCATCAAAAAGGGGTCGTAGGTCGGTCCTTCCAACCTCACGTTCCAGTCAAAGGTCGGACAGGTCGGTGTGTCCATGTGAAGAAGAACCAGAACACAAAAGATCCAAAAGACTTGGGTAGTGCAAACTTGATCCGAACTCCAAGACCTTTCAGACTCAAAGACGAAAGGGATGCTCCAATGAGCAGGCAGTTGACAGTTGAGACATGAAAACAATCTCAACCGGAGATTCGGGAACATCTCCAAGGGGTGTTTTTTCGTGAACAGTCTACGCTTTTGATGGATACGCTCTTGATGCATGGCGTTTTGTTGGAGCGGCCCCCTCCAACGGTTTCACCGGCCGATCCAGCCCCATCGATCTCGGAAGTGGGACAAACCTGAAAACCAGATATAAGAGGAATTGTTGAGATGATATGGATATGTATCTATGTATTATATATATACCTGTATGCAGTGGGCTTTGAAGCCGGGACAAGCACAGGTCCTCATTGGCCGCTGTTGCCAGTGCCCAACTCCCGCCAGGGGGTCCCAACTAGCCATGCCTGGAACCAATTGCCAAAAAGCGATCCAGTGCGCCTGGCCTGTCTTAGTGAGACATCATCAAGCATCATCAAGATGTTGGGTTGATATTCATCGTCTTGTTCAAACAAAAGCAGTCCAAGTTTTTAAAAACTCTCTCAGATATTTGCCAGGCTTTGGTCAGAGAAGAATGGGGGCGCCAATCCGGAAGAAGCAGCACCTCGCTTGCAAAGGGATTCACCATTTTTGTCAACAGCCAAAGTACTCGGAGGCTTGCAAAAGGGTGTTCAACTACCATGTTTGTATTCACAGAACTTTGTTTTGGAGTAGTTGGGAGAAGGGGAACATTTTGGCTGTTTCTTTTGGCTTTGACAGGAAAAGGCGCAAACAGGTAACTACGATTGCGACCCTGAAGGAATCAATAACATGCAGTATAGACATTGGGACATGTTTTAGGCATTTAATTTCTTTTTAAAACATAGGCGGCCGATTGTGTTTGTCATAGATATCTCATAATTATAATTAGCTCTTCAAATGATCATGGAGGGCCAGTTGCAGTTGGAGCAACTTAGAACGACGAGTCAATTAAAACACGGCCCCGTGAGAGTATTCAATGTCGGTGGCAGATTCTCTTACCTTGTGCGGTTCTGCGAACCTGGATAAGTGCGCAGCACGCATGTCCCAAATACTTCCTCCTCAAGTTTGACATGCCCTCACTTACTCCTTATGCATGCTTACACCGTACACCCATGTAAACCTTTAACAAAATAGCACCAGGACCATGCTGGTAGAGGAAGGCCATCATTCATGGTTGACCAAATGTAATGCTTGGTTTGAACAGACAGCTGAAAGATCTGCAAGCTCTTACGCTCAACCACTAGCAGTGCCTGCTCAAACGCACCATCCGATGGCAGGACGTGGTGAAGCTTCTATGCTGGGAGCCTCAAAAAAGGTTTTGAGGATGCGGTGTAAGCAGTGTAATCAGGCCCTATAGAAGGCAGAATGGGCCCACGAAGTGTCTGAAAGCATAACGTTATATACATGAGTTACAAGGCCTATCTTAGGCTATCGGTGGTTATTCGAGCACACTCGGGAACAACTGGAACGCAGTTTGCCGGTTTGCCTCAGTAACAGTAGGTGGAAATGAGCATTTGGCCGTATTTGAAGTGACATGCCAAAGGAACATGTGTTTTGCATGTGAACCGAGAGCATGTCATGGGTTCAATTTCACGCAGTGCTCTACAAGTTCACTGCTCTACAGGAACATGTGTTTATGCATCGACAGCTCAGTCTGCTTCGTCGCATGCGACAGCTGAGGCATGAGCCCACCCATTGAGAAGATGGACTCCTCGCTGAATCAGCTCGTCAACGTGAGGCGTCCTCCGTGTCCGACCACGTCAGCGCGGCGCGATGGCCGCCGGGTCCAAACGGGTGAAACGTCGGTATCCTCGTGCAACTCGCGCTTCAGAGACAGACACAAAAAGCCGAGGGTCATGGCGTTGCCCTGGTTTTTTGGACTTTGTTTGTAGTTCTGAAGGGATTTACATGGATTTACAACATGAGTGACATATCTCCTTTAGCATCTCTTTGCCTGTGGAGTTTGTAATTACTCTTTGTGGTGTGTCAGAGGGTCGTGAAGATGGGAGCTGGCAACGTACTGAAACAATGCACTGGGATGCACGTCGCATTTCGATGTATTTCGATGTATTTCCTATGCATGGAGCGATCTGCATTGCATCTACCAGTCAGGATGCTGAAGGATGCTGAAAGTAAAGCACCAAAGGTCATCCTAGCGTATCTTCCGTTTTTTGTTTGACATCCGGGGCTCCTCAAAGATGTTTGAGCATGCTTGATGCTGATAGGATATCCCTACTACAAGGGACTACGGACTAATACTTGAACTAGCCTTTTTGGATATTTCATGATATTTCTGAAATGGACACCACACAGCAATCACTGACTTCTGTGTTGTTTGCGTTGCAAACCCAAGACCAACTCTAGAAACGCAGACAAGATGGTTTCCAGGCATTTGTCCTTGTCGACCAACTGCATCGACAAGATGATCTCCTTGCCGGCCCTGAAGAACATTGAGGTCCTCGAGCCCTTTAACGACAGTCGTTGCATGGGGAACGCAGGTATGGATGTTCTTGGGCCAATGATTCGTTGTTTCGGTGGTTTCATGCTGGTTGGACTTGTTGGGTTTGGGTGTTGGGAAATAGAGTCTGAGTTCCTGCGAAAGGGCGTCGTCCTAGGAATCTGGTCTGGGGCGCGATGAATGGCCCAGGGGAAAGAGAGAACGGGATCTTCACACTTGTCGATCCAAGTCTTATGTAGTTGTCTTTTGCGTATGTTTTGGCCATTTTCCGAATACTGTAATTAGCTGGTTGAATGTGTCACAGTCTTTGTTTCTGGTGTTTACGCAGAAGGGTTTTGGCGTAGCATCCTTCTTTTGCCACAGCAGTTGATCCGATTTGTCCCTGCAGATGTTCTGCAGGTGCTGTCACTGGGCCGAAACCTCATCAAGAAGATCTCAGGATTAGAGGAGATTGGCTCCACTCTCAAGTCACTCATTGCATGTTTGAAGGGCCAAGCAGGGGGGCTTCTTTTCTTTTGTTCGGATCACACAATCCCCTCAACAATTTATCAATCAGACGCCAAAGCAAAGCAATCAACAACTCGTAAATTCCGTGAAGGGATGGGTTGTGCTTTGTGGTTGTGGTCGTTTTGGAGCCGTTCCGAACGGTACTACACAAGTGACTGAATAAAGACAAAGTCTCACTCAATTGCAACCCTTTTCAACGATTCTGGCCAAAATTCTCGCTGAAACGACAATCATCCAAGAGCTTGCTCCTCGCAGTGTAGCGAAGTCAACGATCTTTTTGTGTTGGTGTTGGTTCAGCGGTCTTCCCAAGAGAGTTCCAGTCCGATTTGGCTGAATCCTGTCACATGGAATCCCTGTCACATGGAATCACGGTCAAACCTATTGGTATTTGGACTTCCTTTTGGGCATGATGTGTCATACACCAAAACTATAGTTACAGTTGTCAAACCTTGTACTGACTCAAACAGAGTAGTCCATCAAGCCATGTCCATCAGATGCCATTTGTGACAGGGAGCTTTGGATCTCCTACAATCAGATCTCAACCTTGGATGGCTTAGCACCTTGCGCTGGGGGCCCAGACCAACCTTTCCCACCCATTCGAATGGCCTCCCTGAGAAACACCTCTCGGCCGCGGCCCACGATTTTTGGGTGCACCTTGTTTTAAGCACATGTGAATCTGTATAAAACAGGTGTGATTCCTCTACTCAAGAAAAGCTCCAAAGTGTGGCTGCCCCCCAGGGGTTTCTTTGAGACGTTGTCGTCTCACAAACTGGGATGATGCAGCAAGTAGACGAAGTAAGAAGTAAGCCTCAAGCAAGTCGACAGAAAGAGATACTTATTCAAGAAGTTTCGTCATTGAAGTATAGCTCAATAGGCTCGTAGGCGACAGTTTTTATTTCCCTGGCCATTGAAGTGTAGCATACATGCAAAACCTTCGAATGTCCGGAGGCCAATGCGTGGCAAAGCTGCGTGTCTATGTATATATCTTGAATTGGGTTTACTTGCAGTAGCAATCAAAAGATGCAAGCATCATCCCCGGCCTGGTGCTGGGGGTTGGATTGGATCGGCTGGACCCTTTGCACGGAGGTGGTTTGATTGGGGTGTTGGACTGTGTTGGACTCCAGGTGAAACTCACCACACTCTTCATCTCGAACAACAAGATCAAGGCTGGGCTCGGCAGCAGACGTGCATCTCTTTGTTAAAAAACGACGGAGGAGCATTTTTTCTCTCAGGAACTTCTTAAGACACAGTTGGATACCAATTTGGCTTCGACGCAGGAGAAAGACATAGAAAGGATTTACAGATTGATCCGCAACTACCTCTCCTAGGCCTTTTGACCCTTCTAATAGCGATGGCCTCTAACCTACTTGCTTTCCTTCCTTTTTACTATTTTGCTGTTCGATGCGCAACTATCTCTCCTGCCTATCATGCAGGACTGGCCCGAGCTCGACAAGCTCCAGGCCAACCAGGAGCCGCCCGAATGGCGCCATTCTCGCACGGGCGGCCGGGGTCGAGCAGGCTGTAGTCCAACTGCGGCAGTCATGTCGGCGAGCCGAGAGAGCCAGAGAGATAGAGAGTTCATGAGAGTCCAATGCTTTGCAAACTTCTGCAGGCAAGCAAATTGGGCATATAGGTCCACGTATGGTTATTGCTTTTCCTTATCTTGGTAGGCAAATGTTTGTATTCTTATCAAAGGCCAGGCGGCCTTTTTTTTGAAAACTCACTTCAGACAAAAGGTCACACCTTTTTAAACCTTTTTGTTCTCAAGAACACTGGTACTGTATGTATATATATATATGCGATTTGAAAGGCAGTGAACTCACAGGGGCAGCTCCATGACAGTTGACCAGGGCAGCACATCCCAAACTGTTCGATTCTTCGACAGGATTTGGTGAACGTGCTCTTCTATGGCAATCCGATTTATGAAGGCCAGAGAAAAGACAGACCATCTCTTCGCATAGGCTACAGACTGCATGTGTTTGTCAAGCTGCTTGACCAGGCATGATTTTACATGTGTTCTTTTGCCTGAGCGCATTGCTACGATGCTAAGCTCAGGGTGTTGTAAGATGGGGGGCCAAGATGCTGTAAGGATTCCAGCTCAGACCGACCTGCACACCTTTTTTGAAAAGACTTCTCCTTAGAATCTGTTGGGAATCACTTGCAACTGTCCTAGTAGGGAAGAACAGCACAACTCCAGCTGAGATGAACGCCAAAGGTTTTAGCATGGACATTGACAGAGTACGCTTTTGCATTTTTGCTCAGGTCACACAACATGATTCTGGTTGAGTCATTCCAGGGCTGGGGGGCATCAATGTACAGTTGTTTGATATGACCATCCAGAGACAACATTTTCTGCTGTTCAGGTTTGTCCAAGAAGCAGGCCCGACCGAAGGCCTGGGATGGGACCGACTTGATTCGTGTGAAGGACAAGGGTAACCATGTGGCACTTCCTATGTTTGTCAGCTCATATAGTATGACTGGACTTGGTGTCTTTGCATTTGACGTGTTGAGAGGCTTGGCTTGAAGGCGTAAATGGAGCTTCAGTTCCAAAAAAGACCAAGTCTTGCATGTTTCAACCAGCAGGTGTGGGCCTTGGCCTGTGACATGTGACATGTGCCCCTCCCCTCTGAGACGGTAATTCTTCGGTCCCCTCATTGGCACGTTCACGTTTTTTGCATGCGCCATGTGGCAGGTCCTGGAGCATTTGCCGAAGATTGCCACCTTGGACGGCGAGCTCCTCACCGGCGATGATGACGATGGGGCCGGGGCGCCACCACGGGACCGGACGGGAGAGAAGCGACGGAGGTCGAGTTAGCGCGGCATTGGCAAGGACGGAGTGGACCACGAGGTCGTTTGTGGGGTGTGGAACACCGGTGAATGAAGCTCTGGTGAATTGCTTGATGCTTTTTTTCTCAGGGGACGCCAAAGTATATTTGGATCATTTTGGATCATGGATGATGATTGCTTGATCTAAATAATGCACAGAGAGACCATGCACGGCAAATCACGCTTAGGGTCTGAATTTGTTAACTTCTCTTGACCCCGATAAAGAATGATAAAGATACGCAAGATTGTAGCTGAAGTCGCTCTTCTGCAGGGGGAGGAAGCTGCGGAGTGAGGAGTGGCCAGCTTATGGGATATGGACACCGGATGTGGAGTTGAGTGTGACGTTACGGACGTTCCTCGACTCTCCACATTTGGGGGATCCGTCTACAAAAAGATGCAAAGGAATGGAAAGGAATCAAACGCTTAAGTCCACGGGGATGGCTTGGGAAGACAGGTTGTCTCCATCAGATCCTGTGTTTGTTTAAGTGACATGTGTGACAATTTGATTCTGCTGTAGGCACGGAACATGGCCCGAGTTTCTTTGAAAAGAGGTTGTAGGTATTCAGAATTGGTCTTCTATCCCAATGAGCCCCTCAAAGATTTTCCAGGCGCGACCGAGCTACTATGCATGTTATTTGGATCTTGTTAGAACGAGTGAGCGTCGAGAGCTGAGAGATTCTTTTTGCCAGGAGGTTTCATGCCGCGATCGGGGCCCACTGACTGTGCATATTGAGGATATGGCGGTCAAGTGGGCATGTGCCATTCCACAGTACCTAATTGCAGTACAGTTGCACTGTGAACCTTGAGCGAGTCTTCAATGTTGACCGGAGAAAACTACTGTGTAGGAAAGGTCGTCCTTGACATGTCTGCCATGCCACGCACTTGGACAGATTCCCGCCAAAGGAAGGTAGGCATGTTCAATGCGATTGTAAAAGCCTGAATGAATTCAGTGCTGTTTCACAGAATGCTCAACTTGCGACTGGTGATTTGCATGCGCGAACCCGCAAGAAATCAGATAGGGCTAGGGGTTCTCTAGGTGACCCTGGGGCCATAGTAATGGAACAGCTGTAGTTGTCGTCTGCTACAGCTCAGCTGCGAACGTGGGCCTGCACAGCTGCGAACGTGTTTTTGGAGAGGTTTCTGTGGTGCTTCCGGTAGTGATGGCAGGTGATCATTAGAGGGCCGATGGTTCATTGCTTGTGATTGCTCATCCGCCAAGCAGCACTGCGTCCACTGCCAAAGCTGCTGTGGGAGTGGCTGCCATGAACAACCTTTGGTTGCGGGGATGTAGAGTCACATAGTTACTTGTGATTGTTTGCCAGCCAATATTAGGTCTTTGCTTCTGCTACCATGTTCTTCCACCTATGACTCAGGACAGCCTTCCTACTACTTATTTCTTGCTAGTAACTACCAGACTTTCAGACTACCTGTACAGTAACTTGATGTAGCTTGTGTTGTGTGCTTCTTCCCTTGTTTGCCCACAAGCTATCAACACTCGAGTCACGCGCCATGTGATGCCACGGACTCCTCGGAAGCCCAAGACAAAAGGCTGGATAGAAACTCTATCCTCTAGTCGCGTCCTTGCTCCTAGTAGTAAGGCCAGGAGCCCCTAGTAGCTTCTTGCTCCTACTAGTAAGGCCAGGAGCCCCTAGTAGCTTCTTGTTACAGCTATGGCATCCTTTTTGGCCGTCTAACTTACGGGGCAAGATCTAGATATTGGTGTGTATTGGAACATGCACTGTACTAACTCTAACTAATAGGTTTTGTAAATTTTTGTAATGTTTTTGTTGCTTCCTTTGTTTCTGAAAGGGGAAAACGCGCAACAGTGTGTAAAACAGTTCTATTTTGTTGTATTTTAATAATATTTGGATTGTTCTATAGAGCCGCGAGTATCGAGCACTAGCACGTTGAACGTAACATAACAGTATATATGCTGGATTTATAGATGAAGGACCGAAGCAGCATCTTGGCAGACCCTCTATGGACATGAGACCTACTCTGCCTACTCCAATTTTGATGGATTGAAGATGATTGAAGACTTCGTTTCAGCACCCATCCCAATAGGAGACTCACTCGGATTTTTGTGAGTAGGTTCACTGTGATGAAGTCTTGGACACCTGAAGAACTCGAGTCAAGATTGTGAGTTGGCCAGAGGTCGTTTGTTTCGTGGTTCTTCACTCTTGAGGACTGTAAACGAGATAACATCACATGGCAGGTGGTGCAATACCCATCAATCCGCCCTTCCTTGTCAGAGTTACACCAAGTCTTTTGCCAAGCACCACGTTTTTGGGCCTTCCCGTCATCTAACCGTAGCACACCATGGTTATATAGATTGGCTGGTATTTCCGCTGGGTTTCTAATTGGTGGAGCCCGTTCCGAATCACCTGGAGGGCCCAGCAGAAGTTCGTCGTCCAGAGCCGATGGCCGACGAGAGGACGATGAGCCACCGCAATGTGGCAGCACAGTGGACAGGGAACAATCCGAAGAAATCACCCGGGGAAACGGAATGCGATGAGTGCAATGGCAAAGGGAAGGGATCAGGGATGACTAGTTGCTGGTTGACATTTTGTTGACTAGAAGATAACGATCAGAATGATTGCAGTACGTACTCTAGATAGGGCACTTTACGAAGATGACTTTAGCCTCATCTAGCCTCAGTTCTTGCAGACTGACAGCATGTTTGGTTCGCCATTCTCATATGAAAGCACCATGTCAGAGCTTTGTTAGATTATGTTAACTACAGTCAGTGGTGGTCAGTAAGTCTACAAACTCCGATTGTTCGCCTTAGGCCTTCTCGATGAGCGAAGAAACCACTGACGACTGATCATGGGCCTCCAAACCTACTAGCGATGGCCTCCAACCTTCTAATAATACAATATATCATATACATACTACATTATAATACATATTACATGCATACATATAATATATATATACATATAATTCTGGGGAGATTGCTTGTGTGACATTTGTGTCTCACAGACGATTCACCCAGCAATTCACCAAGCAGCTCGCTTCCGTATCTTCCGTTGCCCTCCTCAGTGCACCTCGCCGCTCGCTGAGGTCGGTGATCTCCCTGCCGTGCTACGACGATGACGGAGTCTATCTAGGCCGAAGAAGGGTGGGAAAGCCAACGGGAGCCGAAGGTTCTGCGAAATAAAGACTATCCAAATCCAATCATGAACCAGTGGTCAAAGATTAGCAGAGCTTGCAAAGCCAACAGGTACCTTGAATATGTGCATCGTTGCCTGGTAGACTCTCCAGTCTCACCAAAAACCCTTCAGCCCAAGACCGGGTCCCGGTCTGACCAGGCCCTGCGATCTACGGCACGGCGAAGACCTTCGCCGCCCCTGCGGCGCGGAGCATGCGGAAGCGCTTGCGGCGGGGAGCTTTGAAGGGGAAGACGGAGGCCTGGCGGTGAAAGCACCGACGCCTGGCGCTTTGGGGATAGACACAATTAATTAGACAAGCTGACACACTGTTTTTGGTATAAACCATGTAGTGAGGAAAAGAGGAGTCTGATTTGTTTGCAAACATGAAACATTCAAGTTTCTACAGAAGAAGCAAACTTTATGAGTGGTGGGTTTCCCTTTGATTGGCAGCACCAGCAGGATCTGGATGGCTACCCAGAGAGAGAGGATCCTGGACCAGGCGAGTGAGGAGTGTTCCGGAAAAGCTGCTTTCCACGAAAAGTCATCCATCACAAGAGTCACTCCTCCGTTTATTTGTAATCGAACCACTTCTCCGGCTTAGTCTCATCCATCACAAGGTTTTTTCATTTTTTCGCACCTTACAGTAGCTTGGGGCCAGGTGATGATGCCCCGGTAGCTCGTTTGGGACGCAGCAGCGTGCCGAAGGAGGGCTTGTCCCGCCGCTCGGATGGAGTATGAGATGGAATTTCTCAGAACAAGGAGACCCCCACTGAAACCACCCCACCAAAAACCACTGAAGCCATCTGCAGCCCCTCAGCCACTGAAACTACCAGGAGATGAGTTTGATACACTTCCCTTGCTTCATGAGACCACTCTAACGTCCCCTGCTTTCCACCTATGTACGATCTTTGATGCTTGGGGGTCGTTTCTTTCTCAGTGTCAAAGCATGCATCAAGATGAAGGCGTTCATCATCTCCATCTTCAGTTTCCGACCTGTAGGATGTAGTTGGAGCATCGCTCATGTTGTTGTGTTTTTCTTGTTTTGGAGAAGACGACGACGACAACGACAACTGTATTTGATGCTGCTTTTTGCGATGCTGCAAATGGGGGGGCATCTACGGCATTTGCACTTGCACACGCTTTTGTTGCTCTGGGGCAGATGATTGACATCTACGCTGACGACGACGACGACGATGTATATTATATTTGTTTTGCTTAGAGTTGGAAAAGAGACAGGGTACTGGGCATTGGAGAATGCATCAGAGTGCAGAGGCCTAAATGTTGAATCAGTGTGCCATCAGAACAAGGTTTTCGGGAGACCTCAAGAAGGCATGGATGCAGGGACTCAAGCAAGTGAACGTACTGTACCAGGCTTTGTTGGGTAGAAAGTACCCTGTGAGTGTTCGCACTAATGGACATAGGACGTAGGACCATGGACCCGGAGTTGGAAGAGCTGCTTTTCCAATTTGTCTCTCGCCGCAGAATTCTTCCGTCCACTCCACAGTTTTTCTCGTTGAGACTAAACGAATGCTGAAATCTGGCTGGTTGCCTTGCTGACAAGTCCGTTAGTAGGGGGCGGGCTGCGACGACAGTTGAACCTTTCATTTCCAAGGGAAGCACGAAACGGGCAAACTGCCACTAGAAAGGAGCATGACAAAGATGCAATTTTCAACATAATGAAGAGACTCCTGTGGAGAGGATATCATCATTTGGATCGTTCAATTCATTGAAAGCCGTGGCTTTTGTCCACGGCCGTCTGCACCCGATGGAGCCATGTAGTTTTCGACGTGGCTCAAGATCAGAACTCCCATGGATGGTTGGAATCATCTCACCTTTTTGTCCTGCAGAGTCCAAGGTGAAGACCTCTAATCAGTGCAGCTGCAGGAACCCAAAAGCAATTGAGTTATCAGGGATCACCTGAAATACGGGGTAGAGTCTCAACCCCCCCAAACATCACATGTTAAACGTGCAATGTCGGTAGCTCTGGTGTCCCAGCTTGTTTAGAAAACATCTTCGGTTGCGGTATGGAATAGCTACATGCAGTAAAATCTGCATCTCCATTCCTCGGCACATACACGATATATAATATATATATATACATATATACACTGCTTCAGTTTTTCGGCGCTACAACTGTGTG